GAACGCCAGAGTATCCTTTCACTGTCAGCTAGGCAGTTTTTAAATGACGTGATTATATAAGAATAAAGTCATAGTGATTATATAAAGGATTAAAATAGTTGTCATACATCCTGTCATCACAAAACACCTCTGTTCAAGTAAATATAATTAAATGTGATGTCATTACAATGCTGTAAGTTATTTTTGCTTTCCTCTGAACAAATGTTCAGTAGAAAAAACAACAAAGAACAACAACAGAGAATGTCTTTCTCTCTCACAGTGTAGGAAATAAAATAGTTTTGTATTAAAGGATAACTTTGGTTTACTACAGCTTCAGACAATCAAACAGGTTGCAAACAGATCAACGGTTTATCCAAGTGATCCACTTTATTTAGAGGTAAAACTAAGAGTAAACACCCCTGAAATACTGACAGGGGAAAAACAGCGTGTGCACAGTTACAGTAAGTCAAAGTTAAACTAGGGTGTCAGTCTGTGAACTCAGATGGATATTCATAACAGACAGTTGAGATTGTGGTTGTGATTATTAACCTGTTTGTGCCGTTGGACTGAAGTCGAGATCGTGTTAAAGATTATGTTAGAGTTCTAGAGCAAGTTCAGTCATTTTTCAAGCAAAATTTCCTGAAACATTTGCCTCTCAAATGTGAGAAATTTCTGCTTTTCTTCACCGTAGCTCTGTCATTTTTAATATCTTTGTGTTTTGAACTCTTGGTTTGGAGGAAAAAAAAAAGACATCAGACATTCTCTCCTATGGCTCTGGGCTTTTTTTCACCACGTTTCAACATCTCATAGTGTGAAGGAATAATCAGCCGACTGATCGGTAATGAAAAATAATTGTCATACACTCGATTCCTTCTTTTGAACTTTCACAGTATGATCCATACCATCTGTCATTTGAACCAGGTGTGAGTTCAGGACGTGATTCTTACATCAGGTCACCCTGAGTCCACCACCCATGAGACCATCATTCTTATCATACCCATCCTTCATCTTACACAAGAGCAGAGCCTGTTTTTCTTTAGCTGAAACTTGCACCGATGGGAACCCCCGACTAATACATGGGTCCTTGCTCTGTTTCACCCCGCCCATGCAGAGGGTCTCAGTGGAGAATAGACTTACTGTGAGGAAAGCCTCATATTTGGACAATATGGTGGAGAAGAAAACAGCTTTTACAGCTTATATCCATTAAGCATTTAATCATTTGGTCAATAAAACATCAAATTAGGATCCATTATAATTTCCAATAGCCAGTTCACTGTAATGTGATCAGATAATCACATTCGAGAATCAAAACTGGTCGGATAATTGGCATTCTGCTTAAATTAAACTGATCGATTATTTTAAAAAGTTGCAGTCGTCTAATTGATCAATCGTTGCAGCTCTAGACTGTAGTGCTTGAAAAACAGTGATAGTTTTATATATAGATAGTTTTATAACAGTCTTCATGTTGCTGTGAGGAAGCGTGTGGGCTTTCCTCGGGAGGTTAATGGTGAAATCAGCCTCCTCTCATTGTCAGAACTTTGCTCATCAGTTGATTCTGGTCAGCGAGTCTGGAGGGGTGTGTGTGTGTGTGTGTGTGTGTGTGTGTGTGTGTGTGTGTGTGTGTGTGTGTGTGTGTGTGTGTGTGTGTGTGTGTGTGTGCGTGTGTGTGCGTGTGTGTGTGTCTGGTCAGTCTACCCCCCCACTCCTTTAGTGTCACCTCCTGTTTCTTCCTCTCTGGTTGGATGGAGCGCTGGGCTACTTGTCTTTGTGCAATAAAAATGGTGCCCCCTCTCTACACTGTCCTGATGCATCTTCATCACCACCATCATCATCATCACCATCACTGTCAGTTCAGTCAGATTCAGAGTGTGAAGGGATCTTTTGTGTCTTTGACATGTTTATGTTAAAAATGGCAGCGTCTTCTCATAATTTTTGCCTAAATTTTAAATAAAAGATAAATATTGTTTTACAAATAATAAGTGGAATTATTTATCAGTTCCAGGAAATTAGATCTAACAGTAATGATGTACAAACTATGTTCTAAATATAAAATTATTGAACTTGTATATAAAATATAGAATTTTAGTTAATGTTCTAAAAAACATATATACTTATAAAGCTGCACTAGGCTTTTTTGTTTTGTTTAGTTTTTTTCTGTACGCTGTTGGTCCAGTCGACTTCTCAGCCTACATCAGCGTCTCCAACAGAGAAGAGCAACTCTGCCTGACTAATTGAGAAGCAGTGGAGCTGATTTGCCAAAATTACGCCCTGGTGTCCAGTGTGTCCACTTGTCCACTAACAGCAAGTGACGGATTTAGACTTTCGAGAGAAATCCTAGTGTCCTGGTGGAAAGGCGAAACGGGCTGGTCAAAATGAATCTGCAATGTCGCTTTAAAGGGATAGCAGAGTACATACATGCATTAAATGGAAATAATCATAAGTGAAATCTGTTGAAGATTCTGTTGTTATTTTCTCCTGAGTATAGAATATAATTGTGTTTTCAGTGCACACTTAAGAAATAAAAAAAAAAAGAAAAAAGAAACAAGTGAAGAAGACAGTAAAATGCAGTAATAAGTGATGTAACACTGTAAACTGATGGTAAAATGCTCATTTTTACATTGTATTGCATAAAAATACACACACATATAGAATATACAATGGAAATGAGAAATTGTATGCTATGATGGATTTATTTTGTAATAAATATTCAACTTGTCCCTTATTTAATTTAAAACATTTAGATTAGATTCAACTTATAACATATTATAACTTATTTTTTAACACTGACAAGGGCCAGTTTTTGCATTTTATATTACAATAGCTACAATTTTGTAAAATTATGTAAGTATTAACTATTTAGTATTTATATGACCATATTTAGAAACCCTAACCCAAAAGCTGAACCGACATATACAGTATATTTGCTAATATTAGCGTATTGCACATATATTGGTATTGGTGTATATTTTGACCAATAAGTAACAAGAAAGTGCAGAAGAGAAAGATCCAGTATGTTCGAGGTCATTTGGAACCAGTGGCACCATTACATAATTGCTACTATCTAGTATCTTTTTAATAACCCAATTGAAGTTAATGTGATAAAGTGAATATCACAGCGGATTTCATGCAAAAGCAAAGATTATTTTTAAAGATAGCTGGGCCCTTAAGACCTGTGTTGAAGGTGTTAATGAAAGGCAAGCGTAAGAGATCACCCAAAAAAAAAAAAAAAAAAATTAAGAGCGTGAATATCTGCAGCAAAACTTAATAAAAAAAACAGGCCAGTAAGTGTGAAGATATATTTCCCCAGAGCCTGAACTTAAGTGTCACATGGAGGGGCAACCGGACTAAGTTTTCAGGTAATTATCAATATTAGGACCATGAGACATAAAGTGAAACGGAGGCCAGTGTTATTACTGCTGCTGCTCATACTACAACTGATATTTAATGATGTAGCACTTGAATATTAAAACCATTATAGAAGAGAGGGAGAGAGAAATAGTGATGTGATTCATTACTCTGCTCTGGGTGAGTTCACTCCTCTCCTCGGTCTCTCTATTCATTATATTCGCTCCATCCGCTCTCCTCCTTCTTCCTCCTCGTTTCTCCATCTCTCGATCTCGCCTTTTTTTTTTTTTTCTCTCCTCATAATTGTTTTTCATCATCATGTCTTTTTTTTTTCCTTTTATTTTTTATTTCCGGCGTTGTCATTCGCAAATGTTCTTTATTTTTTCATCTGTATCCTCTATTTGTCTCTGAAATGACAGAGGATGACCAAGATCCATGGGGTTTTTATTGTGTGTGTGTGTGTGTGTGTGTGTGTGTGTGTGTGTGTGTGTAGGAGGTACAGTGCTAATAGTCCCTCTCTCCCTGACAGACTAATGACTAGTTTGTGCTTCTCTGTCTGTCTCTCTCAGTCCCTGTCTCTCTCTCTCTCTCTCTCTCTCTCTCTCTCTCTCTCTCTCTCTACACGTCTTTCTCTTGGAAATAATTAGCTCGCTCGCCCCCTTTCCAAAGATTACATCTATTATCACAAATTCTCTCTTGTCCCTGTTTTCTTTCCTTTGTCATCACTATCCTTTTTGTGACGCGTGTCCATCTCTGTCTTTTTTTTTTTAATCTTCCCTCTTACTGTGGGAGAAACATCAGTGTGTGTGGTGATGATGGAGTTGTTCTGTAGGTTTGCACAGATTCTCCTGGTTTTTGGTTTTCCTCTTTTGTTCTGTAGGCGTCACAGTGAAATGAGGGCTGCATTTTACATGAAAAAAATAACAGTCCCTCAATTTCCATAGAGTAATAGGTAACTCTGCACCATAGACCACTGTGTATGAGCTGCGACAGTGTTTCATACATCTACATCTACCACAGACTAACTTTACTAAATGCAGGCAGGCTGTTAAGTAAAGTAAATAATAGCTAATGCAAGCTACTTAAAGACTGGACTGGACACTTTCTGGAAAATTACAGCTTCCTAGACAATCTGTGCCTCTTCAGTGCTGCTGTCAGCCCCGTCCAACCGACGAAGTTGACACAAACAGTCATGCCCTTTCTACCCGTTCCATTAAATAAGACTGCCTTTTTCTCCATAACTAACGGCCCAGTGGTTTCACCAAGAAATGCATCTAATCATGGAAGTAATGATGCCTTTTCATGGGACTTTCAAAGAGGAAATGTGTCTTTTAATGTTCCCTTTCAAGTGATGCAGGTGTCCTTAGTGATGCCACTGATGCTGAGGTCTGACTTCACTCTCAGCGTTTAGCTATACTAGTTTTTGGCTTTGGAAATGGATGGAAAACGACACATATGCAGTAGCCACAAACTAGCTTTGTAGTTTAGTCTAAATGTAGCATAATATGCATCTAAATATCATCAGATACTTGCGTTTAGCTTAGCTTAGCACAAAGAGTGGAAGTAGACTGAAACTGCTCGCTCCGAAAAAAAAACTTGACACTTTGTGGTTTTAAAGGTACTTATGAAATACATATAATATATGTTTTCTGATAAATTCTGTCTGTCTCTCTCAGATGACCTGGCGTACGAGGTGCGTTGGTTTTTCACCAGGCTGCGCGGCGGACAGACAACGACCCAGGTGGCCAGCGTCGACCGCTTTGGCATCGTGAAGGCAGAGATCCGCAACTCATCCAGCGAAATTTCAATAGAGCGCATAGACACACACACCTACCTGATGAACATTTTTGGCACTCAGGACGGGTGAGTGTATTCATGGGTAAACAGTGGTGGGTCACTTGTCCCTGCGGGCTGGAAGATTCACACTGCACCGTTGATATAACAACCAAACTCTGGACTGCGGTGTCTGACTGTGTGTGTGTGTGTGTTGTGTGGTCTCCAGTGACAGCGGGGAGTATTACTGCGTGGCCACTCCCTGGTACCTGTCGGCTTCGACGGGAGCCTGGACTCAAGCCGGAGAGCTGACGTCGTCTCGAATCTTCCTCACTGTCCAGTTTGCTGGTGAGGAGTTGATGCTGCAGCTCGTTACACTCGGCACGTTACTATCACCACATTCATGCACATTCATTTGAAATTGCTAAATCTTGTCTCTGTCTTCTTCTCTAGTGTGGGACTCCCTACAGTTACCTCTCCTATATGGTGCAGCAGCTTCACTAGGTAATGTAATCATTATACATCCTCAAGCGCCTCCTCTCTGTTTAATCATTATATTGTATATATCATTATATTTCATCTAGTTTAGATTAGTGTTAAGGGATTTAAGGTTTAAGGACATCCCACAGAAGTAATATCTAGATCTCTGATTCTGTCCAAGTCTTTAAATATTGAGAATCTGCCAAACGGTTCATCACTTATATGGTTGACAGCTGAGAACCTATCACATCTGTCCTGCACTGGTTTCCTATGCAGCTCTGTAGAGTGTCTTCTAGTGCTGAACATGCTGTAGCTGATTATCTGTAGCCATTTTGAAAACAATAGTTTAAGTCACAATTTCTCCACATCTGGTTTATTTCTGCTCAAATGGGGAATATCAAACTATTACAGCCTGTTTTTGTTCGCCAGAAAACTCAAATGTTGTAGTTTAAATGCATCCAGCAGCAGCTCAGAGGAGCGGCCCACCTGCAGAATGTCAGCGAAGCTGGATAAAAATGCTCACTTGGCTCACTGATGCTCGCTGTCAGCGTGGACACTGACGCTGCTCGCTGATAGACCAGATTTACTCTCTTTTGTGCTGCTCTGCACTTCACTAGCTGACACTGCTGTGCACATGCTTATTTAGGACACTGCCGTTGCCAGGGCACAGTGGATTTAACTAAGACAAGAATCTGAATTTAATCAGGCTTAATATAGCCAAAAAACAATCAATAAAATATGCTTTAATTGGCACCGATGCTGATCTTGTATCTGGCCGCGGGACATTCCTAGTTGCTATTAATAATGAAAATCTTATTTTATAGGCATCTGCAGTGTAAGGAGTTGATTTTGGAGTATTTATTAGTAGTGATAGTCCTCTAATAGCCCTTTTTCACCAAATGATCAGGTCAACAGGCAGTTCTAGTGAGAGGGAGTTAAAAGCTTTAACTATAACTGTCTGCTCCAGACCTCAACATCCACATCCTGCCACAGGAACTGAGGACGGTTTCACACTGAACCTGTTTGTTTCAGTTAAAATTAAATGGTGCGTTTGCCCAGTTAGTAGAGTTTATTTGGGGCCGGTGAGAAAGCTTTTCATCTGGTGCTGACCTGACAAACCGGTCGGCTTCCATGCAGTATCTGGTGCGGTCCTTTTGTGGACTGGAAGCAAACAGACCAACCCCTGTACTTTGTGATATACATATTTGGTTTTAGCATGAATTCATCTGCTGTTCATGAAGTGTTCAGGAAGCCATCTTATAATAGATCTAAATAAACATTTTTTTTTTTTTTTGGTAAATCATTTGATAACCGTGGTAATATATTTGCACATATATGGACACAGTTAAAACTGCGGTCTGCTGTGCGTGCATCTTCTGTGTACGTTGACAGTTCATTAAGTCCAATAAAAAGGCACAGAGATCATCGCTCAGTAATAACACCTCGTGCTTGTCATTATTAATAACTGAGATAGATTTGCAGCCTCGAGTAATAACACTTATAACGCTTATAATCAGTCATTTCTTTGAGCTCTTTGTGACTAGATATCACAAACATACATAAGAGGCGCTGAAGTACAGACTGACCTGCTGTCAGTCACTGTAATCTGATTTTCCCACATGGGTCCTGATGATGCAGGAAGACATTCACTGTCCAATCAGTGAGGGACCTGTCAGTATATAACAGTCAGTGTGAACAGGACCAACACCAGAACTAAAATGCAACAGTGCATCATTGTTTCCCTCGGTGCAGGTTAAAGTAATCCAAACGTCTGATGCCAACGCCACCTTGACGTATAAAATACAGACATTCTAGTGATGAGCAAAACTGTCTGCTAAACATCACAATGTCAATTAACCAACTGACGTCAACCCCATTTTCATTTCCAATCAAAATTTAACATTTGTCCATTTGTTTGAGTCGTTTGAATCTTCTGTCTTTCTGATGTTACTTTGACGCCTGGTGCCTGCTGGGAACGAACCAAACTACAGGTGTACAAACACCCTAAAAGTCCCTTTTACACCTTCCTGTTTGCATTTTCACTGCATCTAGAAGGTTAGACAAATTAGACCGATGATAGATTAAAAAAAAGAATGAAGGCTTCTTTTTTTCTGCTGTTGTAGTGGATGGGAGCAGTGGTAGAGACTGCAAAGTCCAGAACAACTGACTGCAAAGTAGCAATGCCTAAAAGTGTTTACATAACTGTTGTGAATTAATTAGCAAAGCATATTTTATTCCTCTCATTTTCTCGCTATGTATCTTTCTAATGTCTCTCCTTTTAAACGAGTTGGGAAGCAAACAACATAACTTTGTTTTTACCGTTAATAAACAACCCTCGTCCGAATACACTTTCTAACACGACTAAGTCCTTTTTACTGCGTGGATGAAGTCGTAGCAGCCGCAAGGTTTGTTTTTGTCCTCGTTCAGCACCTGCAAAATTCAACCCAGTAGCCATCAGGAGGTAGAGCCAGAGCAGGGACTTTAAGGAGCCAGGATCTAAATTTAGACTGTCATTCCTTCAGTCAAAATGCAGGTAAGGTTCCTAAGGTTCTAAAAACAGTCTTATAGTGTTACCAGTAGAGGCAGGAATAACACAGTGGAAGGAGTAAGGCTGCATTTTAACCTTTTAACCTTGTCTGCAGGTGTGGGCCTCTTCTCTCTGGTCCTGGGTCTGGTTTGCGCCCAGTGCTGCTGCCGCAACACCACACACACTCCTCGCTCGCGCAACAAACTGATGGACCTGGAGATGGACTGACAAACACTTTCCCCCGCACCCACACACTGCAGTGCTCACAGGAAACACCACACACACAACAGACACACACCCGTGGACGATTTCTGGGACACCCAGCTGTTTCCTGGCGACGGACGTTGGGAGTAAAATGAAAAGCCGCTCTGGAAACAGAAACCTGACTGAGGTGCTCAGGATCTTTCAGCTCTGCAGTGGAGGAGCAGGGGACAGTTTTTTGTTTTTTTGGGTTTTTTTTTTTTGGTTTTTACACGCACCAATGGGGAAATAGCCTTTGAGACTTCTGTTTCTGTGAAGACCCAGTGAAATCTCTGGTGCTTCCAGTGATTTTAACACTGACATATTCGCTCCCCGTTAAAGACCATAGTACTCCAGGAAACTCTGAAGAATCTGGAGTTTAATTATTGAGGAACAGGAGACTTCTGAAACACCACTGCCATTTGGGAATAAAGGACCACTATACACATCTGCTGCTTCTAGGGATAACAAATGAAGCACTCAGGCTGGACTACATGCTTTTTTTTTTTTTTTTTTGCTTTTTTCCCTTTTTTGCTTTCTTCTGATGCCATGGCTTCCTGCAAAGTACAACCACTTCGTGTCTCAGAGTAACGACACACCTGCATACCCTGTTGAATTCTCTCTTATGAGGAAGCACCGAAAACTCAAGGGGTGTTTGATTGAACGTTGTATCTGCACAGGGTTACTAACACCCTCAACATGTCCCTGTTAGGTCACATGGCTGGAGTTGTTTTGCATTGGCGGAGGCTGATGGTTTAGGCAGCCTGAGCCTTATTTGAGTCATGGAGGAAGTCATGGTTTGAACATCATGTTCATTTGGGCAGCAGAAGTCTTAGAAAACGGAAGTGCGCCACGTGCTTTCCACACGAGCGGTATTGCACTAGAACTACCATCCCAGAGTATTCCTACCTTAACAAAAGGACAATATAAACCTTTATTCTCAACTCTAGTTTTTTGAAAATTAAGAGATTTTAAAATGAGAGACATTTTTAAGCTTTACAAGGAGATATGCAGTTAGTGTGTTTGTGTGTGAGATATACTGTACGTGGTGCCAATATTTGAACTAACAGAGGTGTGCTTGGTTCATTTTGCCAGATCAACACTTGAACAGCCACTAAACGTGGTGACAACAAGCACTCTTCTTTTATAGATATTCAGAAATGTATCCAGCTGTTATTTTTTGCCTGAGTCTCGTGTGTGTTTCGTACACCGTGTGAACGCTGTTCTACAGTGCGTGAGACAAAGAGTTGCATGTACCGTTTTATAATGACAGACTGGTGTCCTTCACAAGCAACAAAAGCCTCTTCCAGGGTTTCATTTTGGTGGCATCAAAGTCTCCTACATCCAGATGTTTGAACCTAGCCGTCACTCCACTGATCCAGACTCTCGTGTGTTCACACTGAGCGACATGACTGCTCGGGTGCTGCAAGAAACATTGGTGACTTCCATGGTGTGCAACTGCAAAGATTTGAACATGAAAATCATGCACGTTTCTTCGCTTCAGTTTCGCTTTTTAAAGGATCAGTTCAGCGTTTTGAGAAAGACGCTTCTTTTCTGAAGACTTGCACAACTGCAGTTTGGAATCGATCGGGTCATTAGCTTAGCTTAGCATACAGTCTGGAAACAGGAGGAAATGGCTAATCTTGCTTTGCCCAAAGTTTCCAGTCTATGTGCTAAACTAAGCTAAACTACGTCCCAGGCCTAATTCTGGCAAACAAGCACGTTATTCAAAATGTCCGACTGTTCCTTTAATGTCGCTAACTAGAAGAGTAAACAAACCTTTCAGTAAAGTGGTTTCAGAGATTTGAACTCCGACAACGGTTGCACCCCTTTTGCAAATAATTCTAGATGTTTTGTCTCTACTCTTTTTGTTTTTCTTTTTTTTTTTTTTAGGAAAGTTGTAGAAAACTGGTAAGTTTACTGTGCGCTTAACAGGTAAAACTGAAAACTGTATCTATTCAGAAGCAAGAGAAATCTGCAATAACCAGCTGATGAAGAAAAGTCAGCTGTGCCCGACTTGTATCAGCTGACATCTGTTGAGTCTCTGTGGTGTTTTTATAGCAAATGAATGAACTTGTGGTGGCTCGTGTATCGCATTGACTGCTGTGTGAACGCACACTCACACTTCCAGCAACAACACACACAAAGTGAGAACGTTTCGATCCAAACTCAGCAGGATCCAATCAGACCTGTTAGGTTTGTAATAAGCCAGGCTGACTGGGCTCGGGCAGGGCTTTGTTTGATGTGTTTTTGAATAGTTTTAAAAAGTATTTTAAGCAACTATCAGAGCTTTTTGAGCAATATCAGGCTATATAGTCAAACTTTTTTTCTTCCTTTCAAAGCAAAATTTGGTCTGAATTAGTCAAACTAAGAAATCTGACGTTGCTACTTGATACCAGAATGATCATCTATCAGTGCTGCTGTTCTCAAATCATTTCTACATCCACACTTGGATGTTCACCTCCATATCAGAGCGTGCTCGTCTAACTATTTTGTAAAGTTTGGGAAATATTGATAACAATATGTGTTTCTTGGCTTGATTGATGGTGACAGTCACTTCAGAAACCTCCAGTAGGTCTCCATAAACCCACTCCACAGGTGTGTGTGTCTCGATGATAGTGCTGTTGCAGTATTCAAAGTATGTTTTACCACTAACACACATACAGACACTTTCTCATACACACACACACACACACACACGTACATATTCACAGTACTTGAGCACACTGGTGAATAATAGGGCTTTGTGCCAAATGCTCTTAACTACACAGACACAAAATAGCATCGATACACACCGCTGAACATGTCACCGCAAGGCTTCCCCAGTGTCTTTATTTTATCATTTTATTGCAATGACTATGATGAATCATGATGTTTTTTAAATAAATAGATTTGTAAGATGTATTCATTTTGTAAATGGTTTTATATGTTCCTCTTTTCTTTTCTTTTTTTCTTTAGCAATATTATACCCAGTGATCTCAGTGTGTGCTGTTTAATACTGAAAATTCACTGTCAGAAAAGTGACTAGCACTGCCAAGACAGACTACATACAGCCCATAACCAAAATCCATACCAAATTTCATTTCAATCCATCCAATTTTTTGTGAGATATTTCACTACAAACCAAAGGTCAGTAGGATTCATCCTCTGGGGGACCGTGAATGTCTCTACAAAATGTCCTGGATGGAGAAAATGAGATTAAGATTAGCATTAAATACTCTGCTAAATGTGAAAGCTGAAATGAAAGTCATGCTGCGAGCGTGTACCTGTGTTCTTAATTCATAGTTGCCAAATTTAAAGTTTTCCATGCACTTTTAAATCAAATCAATCCATTCATAATACTAATTTTCTTTTTTGATTATAAAATTGAATTACTTCGGTGGCACTCTTCAGCCTCCATATTCACTAACACATTAGTTCATGCTGTGCGCTCCATCCAACATTGTAGTTTTTACGTGGTTGTAGCGAACATTGCTGCCTGTAGGTGGCGCAGAGTGACCCTCAGACTCAGGTGCATTGAGGCCACCAGGTCACGCTGTCACTCTGCTTCACCCGGAGCAACATTTGCGCGTTTGTGTCACATGTTGCTGCTTACGGAGTCGATTTATTGTCTGAAAAACCCAATAGTTATTTAACTGTGGTTGTAGTCCTACTTGGCCCACATTTACCCTCTCCCTGTTGAAAGGCGGCTGCCGAATTCTTCCAGTGGATCTGATGTGGTCGTGATCAGAGTTCCTGCTCGGAGACTTGTGACAAATGTGGGCCAATTTGTTTTTTCTTCTCCGTCTCTGGGCAAACCATCAATCAGGTTTTTCTATGCTTCCAAACATCTGAAAAAAAAAACAACTTCAAAAACTTCTAGCAGAATAAATGTTTTATAATTCAACATTGGACCGCGGCTATATCTCTCCTTCTTCCCTCCATGTCTTTCTTACTGTGTCTCCCATCCCCTTGTTAGTCTTATGGGATTCATTTTCTGTCTGTTTATACTCTCTCTCTCTCTCTCTCTGTCTGTCTCTCTCTCTCTCTCTCTATTTGTCACCATTCTCTCCCTCAGTCCATCTCTCTGCTGTTTGCTCCGTTTCTCCTCCACATTTCTCACTCCATCTCATTCGGTGCATCTCCCTGCACTTCCCCTCATCACACCGATCCCTCTCTCACCCTGATTAGAAATGCAGATGAGTTGAAACCTCTGTCGCTCTCCAGGGTTTTGATTTTTTACACCTCTTTAACAACAGTCTCTCCATCCAACTTTCTCTCTCTCTCCTCCTCCACTTTCTCCCCCTCTTTTTCTCTCATCTCCACATGAGATGGAGATGAGAGAAAAGAAAGATCCAGTGTCGATTGGCTCTGGATCTGTCTGTGGCTTTTCTAACTTGCACTCACTCTCTCTCAGGGTCCATTTGACCCAGTTTTCTCATCCCTGTATGTATGTGTGTTCATGTCTCTCATGGATCATTTGGTAATGTGGCCTTGTCACAACTTAAACCATTGTCTCCCCTAATTGACTCAGCTGTGTGTTTGTGTGTCTGTGTGTGTGAGATAAAAAGAAAAAAAAAAGCAGCACAAGATATTCTTTATTTGGTTGTAGCTCTCACCACTTTGTACACTCCTGCTGTTTCGGAGATGGCACATTTTGTGGCGTTACCCACGGCTCCGACTTGAACGTGTCACAGCTTGAGGGTTGCTCCACATAACAAAAATTTCAGACAGAAAAATTTAGCAGGGCATGGAAGGAAGTAAGCAGCGTGTTCTCCCCGGAGTCTACCAGAGGCGACAAGTTTTCTCGTCTTCATTGTAATCAATGCTGATGTTTACAGCGGCTCCAAACAGCCAAAAGCCTCGGCAGTTAATCCTCTGTTTCTTTTTTAATTTAAACAGTGGTTTGGCGTATTCTCTCTCGAACCCAAAATCACTGTTTTTCACCCAAAATATACTTGGCGTGCTCAGTTTGCTGAGCTGATTTTTTTCCCTCTAATTTGATTTCCTCACGCACTGAAAAGTTATTGCTTTTCTGCTGTGTCAATACTCAAAAATATTCCTCTGATAATAGAAAATGCAAATGAGTTGGCAGTATGATTTCAAAGCTGGTAGCGTTTGAAGAGGAAGCATAAGAGCAAAAGCATTATTTTATGATTAATTTTCAGCAGCTGTGTGTTTAAAATCAAATAATCTTTTAAAAATCATCAACCCTAGTCTGACCTAGGTTGTTTTGGGATATGCAAAGTCTACTTC